AAGTCCATCCTCGCTCTTGCTTAGAAAAAGAGAAGTTTGCAAAAGGTGGAAGAAGCAGCAGAATCCAGGTAAGCTGGAGGGTCAGTGATTCAGCAAGGAAGCAAAGGGTGGGGGGAAAAAAGAAAGGAAGGAGAGAAGGAACATGAGCCAAAAGGTAAGAGGCTTTCAATCTTACTAAAGAACCAACTCCAAATCAAATGATATTGGGTGGGGGGGACCCCAGACACCATTGTACCTGGAATTGTTCCAGCCAAGAGGAACACAGAAAACCAGCAGTAAGAGGAAAGATTTTAAAAAGAGCCTGCTGGAAGCATTAGAGAAATGAGGAACTCCAGCTGGTGACAGATAATGGAAGTATTCTGAGAACAGGGGTGTCCCTCTGAATACAGTAATCACCAGATCTGTGCAATACCAAATGGGTGCAGTGATAATTTTACTTGATGGCAGAGGGGATTACCTGCACAAACATACCTTTTCCCTCAGCAGTGTGAGAGTTGCTTTTATCACACACTCTGGTTTTACTGGGCCCACAGGACTGTCTCAGGATTTCGTAGCGCTCAGTGAAACGCTGGAAAGGGATCCTGGCAGACAAACACACAGGGAATTGCAGGAAGGAGTCACTCCTGTGGCAAAGAACTTATCCTTTGGGGGTAAAAACTGCAGAATGGCTTCACAGACTGCTGCCTAAAGAGTCCCCAACAGGCAAGAAGGTACAAACTTCCAGTAGTGCCTGTGGCAAAGACTGGGCAGGAGTTGTGCTTGGATATGGCAATGATGAGCTTCACCCCATCAGTGACTATCTCAGGCCTTGCTCTGCACCCTCTAAAGCTGCTGGAGAAAGCCCAGCAAGGCTGTGATGAGATGCTCAGCTCTGAGATGACCACACTTAGATAAAAATGCCATTTATGATTTAACTGCTGAAAATGAAGCCACGTTCAGTTAGAAAGGTTTGAGTGCATAACAGTCCCCATCAAAACATCTCTTCCCCAGCTTCTGAGACTGGAAAGGGACAGTGAGCTCTCAGACAGCTTGGAAAGCATCAGCAGTTTCGAGGCCTAAAACAAAGTGCAAAATATTTGGGTTTCCTGCTTACGAGCTCTTCTGAATTAACTAATGTGCCTCTAATTGCTGCAGAAGTGGGTTATGCTCAAGGAGTTTGGGCTCACCTGACAGGGAATCCTGCTGCACTGATGGTGATGGCTTCGACTATTCCACATGCCTGAAGCTGGCTGAGAACCTGAGGCATAAATTGGGATGGTTTAGGTGACACTGTCTGTGGGAGCTGCCCCTTTCTTGTGGTTTCCACCCCCTGACTGGCCGAGTGCAGCAGCAGGTGAAAAGCCAGTGGGGGTATCTGAATGCTACTTTATTATTTTAACACTATTGTGCACTCAGCAAATTCTATCAGAGATTAAAGTCAAGGCAGCTGCTTGTTTGCCCATCAGATGAGGGTCTCCAGTTACAGCTCTGCTCCCAAAGTCCTCAGCTGACCTAACCCAGCTTGTCCTGCGCTCCAGGAGCAAGCAAAGTTTGGTTTGGAAGATCCCTGTGTGCCCAGGGCAGCAGAGCACTCAGAACACCCTCACCTGTTTGAGGGCTGGGAGGGCAGCACCCCAAAAAACCCAGGAGTGCTCTGGGAAGAGAACTTCTCCTACAGCAACACAGGAGTTGCACCTGGAAGAGCTGCTGAGCTCACACAGGCTCTGTCCTGGACCAGCACCATCTGAAGGGATGTTCGTCTCTGCAGCCTCACAGCTATTTCAAAGTGTGCTGTGAAAGGAGCTGTGCAGTGTCTCCAGGAGGCTTCTCAGGGAGCAAAGGCTTTGGCAAAGTTACCTCCTCTCTTTTAAAAGTCATTGCCTTGCAGTCAGCGTTGGGCTTGATGCAGCGGATGTAGTGGGGCGTGGTCCTGTCCAGAATCTGCATGAGGTGTTCCAGGGAGCTCTGCACAAAACAAGCAGGGGATGGATCAGG